AGGCGTGGTGGCACATAGCCGTCATCTCGTCTATTTTGGAGACTGAGGCACGAGAATGGCTTGAATCTGGGAGGCCGAGGTTGCAGTGACCCAAGATCACACCATAGCACTCAGGCCTTGATGAAAGAGTGAGACTCCGTCTCAAAAGAGAGTAACTTATAAGATGGAAGTTACTTGATATTTAATCTCTCTGCTCGAAACCCCCAGCGCTTCCCTGTGTCAGTCCAAGTAAAACTCTGTATTTACAGTGGCCTCAGGTCACCTCTTCCCTGTGTCCTCATCCCTGCAGTCCTCCCTGGCTCACTCTCATGCTGCTGCCTGGATGTTCTGTTTTACATGTCAATCACATGCAACCCCAGGGCCTTTGCACAAGCTGTTTCTCTGCCTGGAGAACCCCCAAACTCTATGACTCAGTCTCTTTACCCTGTCACCTCCAACCATTGTAGCTGGAACACCCAGCTACTCCCTGTACACCTTGCCCTTAACCCCTCTGACACTCCATATTTTCCTGTTAGATGAGTCTTGAGGGCAGAGGTTTTTTTGTTTTTGTTTTTGTATTATATTTTTTTATTAATTTTTTTTTAATTTTTTAGCCAAGAGACTGTCAGTCCATGTTGTAGTTTTTTTTGAGACAGAGTTTTGCTCTGGTCGCCCAGGCTGGAGTGCAATGACACTATCTCTGCTCACTGCAAACCCCACCTCCCAGGTTCAAGCTATTCTCCTGCTTCAGCCTCCCAAGTAGCTGGGACCATAGGCACGCACCACCACACCTGGTTAACTTTGTATTTTTAGTAGAGACGGGGTTTCTCCATGTTGCCCGTGCTGGCCTCGAACCCCTGGCCTCAGGTGATCCACCTACCTCGGCCTCCCAAAGTGCTGAGACGCGCCTGGCTGAGACTTCTGTTGCTCATGTAGATCCCCAACACCCAAGGGTGCACTTGGCTCACAGGAGGGTGCTGGTCAGCAGTGGCTGAACGAACATGTTGATTTCTGTCTTTCACCAGGTTGTGGGGATGTTCCATCCCTCCGGCCAGTTGTGAGAACCTCTCCTATGTGCTCAGCTGCAACCAGACCCTCATCACTCTGGACCTGGGCCAGAATCCCTTAGGGTACAGTGGAGTAAAGTTGCTGTTTGAAACCTTGACACATGCAAATGGCACCCTCCAGACACTCAGGTACGACCCATGTACTCCCCCTCAGGTTTTCTCCGGGGTAGTAGGTTTAGGGGATGCATAATCCAGGAATCTGCTGTAGGAGGCTGATCCAGCTCTCAGCCGGTGGTGTCTGTCCACCCGGTGAGTCTCCCATAGATTCCTTCTGCTTTGTCAGGTAAGATGGCTCAAAGAATGAAACTCATACTCAGTCGGCATCCAAGAAGCTAGATTTATGGCTTTAGTGAGAGGGAGGACCATAGTCAGCCATTGTCTCCTGAGAGACACCAAATCGCAGATGTCAAATGGTGCTTGTGGAAAGAGCTCTGTCAGTGTCAGCCTTGGAAGTGTGTTCTCTGGATTGAGTCTGCTGTCAAATGACAGGAGTCTGGGATATAGATGCTGTCACCAGTTACCTGCTGTCCTTTTTTCTTTTGTTTTGTTTTGAGATGCAGTTTTGTTCTTGTTGCCCAGGCTGGAGTGCAATGGCGTGGTCTCAGCTCACTGCAACCTCCGCCTCCCAGGTTCAAGCGATTCTCCTGCCTCAGCCTCTCGAGTAGCTGAGATTACAGGTGGCTACCACCACACCTGGCTGATTTCTGTATTTTTAGTAGAGACAGGGTTTTAACATGTTGGCTAGGCTGGTCTCGAACTCCTGACCTCAGGTGATCTACCTGCTTCAGCCTCCCAAAGTGCTGGG